GAAGGCAGGCTCTGTCCTCCAGACTAGAGATTATTCCAAGAAATAGGACAATCTACACATAGTGCCAGAAGGGAGACAGCAGCATGTGACCCTAAGGGTCTCTGATTTAAACAGGAGCCCAGGACCTAGGAGGGACAAAGAGGAAGACTGAGGACATGCATCTCTAGACACTGAGCAGGCTGGTCTGCCCTGTGGGGTGACCAGCTATCCTACTTTACCCCAAACTTTCTGGTTGTAACACTAAAAGTCCCTACCACATGCTAAGGATTTTACACATATTATTTTCTTTCCTATTCATAATGATGTTTTGCTTAATCAATTGTAGAATCACAAGCAATTATAAGAAATAATCACCTCTAGGCCTTTTGGAGATCAAGTACAGTAAAAATATTACTGGAAAATCCCCTCTATTCCCCATCCAGTTTCCCACAATGGTAACATCTACAGTGCAATGTCATGACCTCCTGAGGTTGGAGAGCCCCATCCTGAGGTCCATGTGCCACCAGGCTCACTCATCTTCAGCCTGTGAAACAAAGAGTTAGGAAAAGCTTCATGGTGGGAACTCAATTAAGCTGCTCCTTTTAAAAGGGAAAGGATAAAATGCACCCAAGTATAGGTGTGTATGTCTCAAGAGAGATTCACGCTGAAATGTCTTAATAGTAAGCATGTATATATGACTTGGTGGCTCTCAAGTTACCTATCAAAAGGTTTTTTAAAAAAATTTGGTCCCCTCTTAAGTGCACCACGTGTACAAACCCACAGAAGCCAGAAGAGAGTGTCAGATCCCCTGGAACTGGAGTTACAGATGGTTTTGGCTACCATATGAGTGCTGGGGACTGAACCCAGGTCTTCTGCAAGAGCAGCCAGTGCTCTTAACCACTGAGCCATCTTTCAAGCCTCTGGTCCCCTCTTTTTTTGATCAATGAAATTGTAGGGTAGTTCTGGAGGTGGCTTGGATAGGATGATGGTTGGTAAGGTAAAAACCATAGGTTGTTACAAGAGGGCTTACACATTTTTTACTGTAAATAAGAGTTTCATGTGAGATTCCTAGAAAAGTGCAGGTTTATATCTAAGAAATAAGAAAGGTCATATACACTTAGGTCTTAAGCACAATTCATTGCTACATTAAGATTCTTATTTGAGGAGCTGGAGAGATAGCTCAATGGTTAAGAACACTGGCTGTTCTTGCAGAAGACCCAGGTTCAAATCTCAGCACCCACATGGCAGCTAACAACTGTCTATAACTCCAGTTCCAGGGGATCCGACAGCCTCTTCTGTCCTCCACAGGCATTGCACAACACGGGTGTACTTACCTACATGCAGGCAATACACACATACACATAAAAAATATTTTTTTTAAAAAAAGACTCTTATTTGAAATATCTCTAAAGGAATATTGTCTTTATGTAGGCAACCTTCACAGCAAATTTTGTTAATTGTGCTGGCTTTTATTTTTTTGGACAGGATCTTTCTTAACCCCAGCCTACCTGGAACTCAGTATGTAACTAGGCTGGACTCAATTTCACAGAGATCTGCTTGCTTCTGCCTCCTTAGTGCTGGGATTAAAGGCATGCGCTACCATGCCCAGCAGTGTGCTGGAATTCTTGACTCTTCAGTGGTGAGAGGCTTTAGCCAGACTGGTGTGAGGGACTCCTTTCCCTTCCTGTCCTCATGATTTTCTGTCCTGCCTCAAGTTAGGAGGGCAGAGCCTTAATAAAAGACAGAAAGAGGGTCCTAGACCTTTTTTTTCCCCTTGCTCATCTCTTCTGCCATTTGAGAACACAGAGGTTCCTCCCTTTCAGAGGATACACAAAGCATTATCTTGGAAGCAGAAATTGGGCTCTTTTCAGAAAAAGAACCTTCTTTTTCTTCTTCTTTACTTCAAGAAAAGAAAAAGAACTTTCTTTTCTTGGGAACTGTTTGCTTTACATTCAGACAGCCTGTGATTAGATGCCTCAATCTTGGACTTCTAACATACAGAACCATGAGAAATACATTTGTTCTTTATAAATGATTCAGACAGAAGTATTTCTGTTATAGAAGCAGGAATAGAGAAAGGCACATGATTATATGTATTTGTTAAAACTCACCTAACCATACAGTCAAATTAACCAACGTTGTCATATAAATTATTGAAAGAAGTCTCTACCAAGTGCACATCTACTATATATCAGGCTCTAGGCATGGAGAATACAGTCCACAACAAAATAAAGCTTTTCCATGGGACCTAACTGTGACACAGATAACAATAGTTTTAGAAAAGAGCATTATGAATTATTTAATATACAATAGTTAGGAATTACTCTGCATGGATAAGAGAACAATTAAACAGAGACCTAAATAAAATGAGTGCATAAGGAATGCAGATATCTGGAGAAAGAACACTTAGGAAGAAAGAAGGTACAGGCTTGGCAGGTTAGGCTGATGATAAAAACGTTGGCATGGCTGAGAGGGAGAAGAGGACAGTGCTAAGAGATGGGGCGTGACAATTATATTGGGGTAGGTAGGCATGGAACAGTCCTTAGGGTTTATTATTTTATACGAAAAAAGAGGATTCTGAACAGAGGGCTGATACAATCTGACTTTTATTTAAGAAAGATTGTTCTGAGGCCACGGGTGATGGTGCATATCTTTGACCCCAGCACTTTGGAGGCAGAGGTAGGTAGATGGATCTCTGTAAGTCTGAGGTCAGCCTGGTCTACATAGGGAGTTCCAGGCCAGCCAGGACTACATGGTGGGCCTGTCTTGAAAGGGAGGTAGGTAAGGTTGGTTGTTTTGTTGTTGTAGGGGAACAGGGCAGTAAATTAACAGGTATTATGGATGAATCATGCCCACCTCCAAAATGTGCTGCTATCATAAGCTCTAGTGTTTGTAAATATAACCTTTTCTAGAAATGAGGATACTTGTAGATGATCAAATTAAGATGAGGTCAGCACTGTGTGTCCCAAGGCAGTATGACTGGCATTCTTATAAGATAGGGAAAACACACAGGGAGCCTGTCCCACAGTGACAAATGGAAAGGAATTAGAGTGATGTTAACTTCAAGACAAGGAGCGTCAAGAACTGACCAGACTACCAGAAGCTAAAAAGGGAATGAGGGATCTTTCCCTGAAGTCTTTTGAGTCAGAGTGTAGTAGGCACCCAGAACAGAAAATGGGACCCTGAGGCTATGCAGGAGGCAGTTATTAGTGAGCCAGCACAGTCCCTGAGAGATAGATCTCTAAAGCAGGGCCTTGAACAAAGAAAGACACAGTCTTCTATATCTTCTGTTAGTTTCCCTTTACAGTTATTTGTCTCCCATATATGGTAACACACATATTCTGCTTAGATGCTCTGCGCTACAAGGTCATGACAGGCAGCACTGTGTACATGCACTCAGGCTACACTCCCTTTTCTTTGTTCTGGGGGGTTCCTACCACAAGAGCATAGCAGAGCTTATTGTGAATTTAGGAAGCCACCTGCAGGCGAGGCTAGCTATGAATGCATGAACTTTGCAGGTTACAACTTAGTGTTGCAATGTCAAACATCTTAAGCTATCTGGGAAACCAACATAGAAGGCTACTATCACCAGCCAGGCTTTCCATGATGGTAGCTTCATAAAGGGTGGCAGGGGAGGTGTGCACGGTAGGCACCCACATGAGGCATGGGTATGAAAGAGCAAAGTCAAGGATGCCTTCTGGTTTGGGGGCTTGAGATGCTGCAATAATAATGGAGTTGCCACTTACTGAGATGAAGAGGTCTGCAAGCTGGGACTGGAGGTCAGATGTTGGTTTGGGAGACACTGAGACATACCAGCTGGAGTCAGGGGTCAGTGCTAAGAAATTATATTGTTATAATCAAGCTGTATTCTTATCTAAACTGTGTCCTTGCAAGCTTAGGCCATTTGAAGTTTCCTCTTGTTTTGCTTACTGGATAGATATCTTGAAATGCAACCCAGTGATGTTTTACTACTCAGTGATGGTTTATTGCTCTGTGATGTCATTATTACCCTGTATTACACTGTAATATCTTGCAGTTCGGTGTTGCTTTCCAGCCAACCATGCCTAATTACTGATAAAGATGTAAAACTAAGAAAATGAAGAGTTCACCAAATGGTCTAGCAAGACACTTGGTCCAATTATTCTGACAGGAGTGTTAGCTCAAATGTGACAAATATCTACAGTTCTGCCTGTGATAGCTGTTTTTTTGTAAACCGCAATGACTGACTCTTCACTCAATAAACCTAATCTAGATATAGATCAAAAGCTATAGGTCAACAGATGTCCTGACCTATGCCTGGGATATCTACTTTGTAAATTGTGATGACTAGGTGAACTCATTAATTTTCCTGGGATAACACTGTCCATCAATGAAAAGAGCCATAGGGCCTAGGAGGCAAACATAAAATGATGACTTGAAAAGTCCTATATAACCTCATGTGTACTTTGCTCTGGGCCCAGAAAAATCTTGAAGCCTTTGTTACTTATTCTGGGACCGCACGCATGTGAAAAATAAACGGAGCTCTCCAACACACCGTTGAGGGACGCGCTTAATCTCTCGGTTTTTCGAAGAATTGTTCCCTAACAGTGCGGCCTGGAGACCTAAGTCTCAGACCCACCAGACATCAGCACATCACCTATCTGAGCAGCTAGGTGTCCCTGTGCCTCCACCTGTTTTTTGATGCCCAAACCAACCCTATAATGTCCTGCCAAAGGCAGCTGGTCAACCAAGCCGACTTCTAAGTCAGTCGTGTCCTATAGCGTCCACTGACAAAACGCACCTGAGCACAGTCACGAAGACTCTTTAGTGACCAGCCTATGCACAAAACTCCATCTGAGGCCAGGTCGGCTTGGGCATTGCGCTTGTCAACCGGCTGAATAGATGGAAAGCGTGGATGGTGCCAGTGGGCAGTGCTGGTCAGGACCACGCTTCTTGCGGCGCCAGCCGGGAACCCAGAAGGAGCGACCAATGGCTGTGGCTCAGAGACGCCAAGGCCGCCGGGAACCCGGAAGAAAGGCCTATGGGCCCTCGCCGGCGCGGGGGTCCGCCGGGAACGGATAGCAAGGCCAATGGCTATGGTCGATCGGCCGCGCGAGGGCCGCTGGGAACACGGAAATCCGCTGGGACGCCATGGGTGTCCGCTGTGTGGCAATCGGTTCCTGTGGGCGAGGTAAGATCGATACCGGCGTGGTCTGGATGGCCTTTCGTGGGTGCGGGGCTGCGGCGGCCGTTCTGGCGCTGCTGTCCGCCGCGATCGCGCTCTACGGACCCCCGCTGCACGCAGGTACCGGTTGCGGCTCCTTCCGCCGGCGGGTGGATCCGAGGAAGGCGCGGCTGCTCGCGGGGCCCGGGCCGTGGGGAGCAGGAGCCGCAGGAGTCGCGGTCCGATCCGGGGGCAGGGCCGCGCGCACGCTCCGGCTAGAAGCTCCAGTACCCGAGCTCAGAGTTGCAAATTCTTGGGCCACGGGGGTCGAGGCCGGGCTCGCCCCCTTTCGGGTCCCTACACCTGGTATGTGTGCTTAGGGAGCTCGAGAGAGGGGTTAACTCAAGTGACACCTGGAGCCCCAGCCAGCCACTCCTAGGACCCTGTCCCAACAGTGGACTTCGAGGTGCCTTTTCAAATAGGACAGACTATGTAGGAGGAATTCAGGCATGGATTGAGCAAATGGGTCCTCTTTGGTTCCAATATCTCTTCAGATAACTTTTGATCCATCTGTTTGCCCTCTGAATACTTACTTTTCTAACAACTATACTGCTAAGTAATGCGCAGCGTCTCATTTCTCACAAGGTGGAGAGAAAATTGTTGACCACTTTTGTGTTGAGAGCAGAAGCTCTGAGGAAGTGACTTAGCGCTCCCCACTAGTAAGTCACTGAAACTGTGAAGTGTGCCATTTGCTGGAGTATTTATTAGGAAGGTTTGACCTTGGCAGAGATCAAAATTTGGAGAACTGTTGGCTTTTTGTTTTCTAGTTAGTAGTAGTAATTGCACTAGGGAGGTGGGGGTTCCTGAGTCTGTATAATCTGTTACACCAGTAAGGGGGGGGCAGTTGATTCTGTTGAGCACCACTTTAGAGACTTTCTTTTCTTGGTAACTGTTTGCCTTACATTCAGACAGTCTGTGATTAGTAACATTTTTCTTTGGGTTTATGGGAGAGTTCATTATTAGATTGACTTGTTAAATTTCTGCCAAAGAATGCATAGAGTTCTACACTGTAGATTTTTAAAGCCATCTGTGCTGAAGGTGTATCTCATTTAATTTAAAGGTTGCTGTCACATGCTCTAATTTATAATTCACATTAACTTAAAGCACTTTGGGTGCAAAAGCAGTGCTAATCGTCCTCAGCCACCCTTCTTTAAGGCCAACAAAACCCAAACAGATTTGACCTGTTTTTCCAGACTTGGGATTGTTATGGTGACAAAGTCACTTATGTAAGTAGCATTTATGTTTTAAGTAGCCTCTTATTAGGGCCTTTTTATCCTTCAGGACTTTGGTTCTTGTATTTAATTCTTTAGTGGATAGATCTAACTGGGGTGTGACAGTAAGCCAACTAAAACTTGATCCTGTGTAGTGTTGGAAAATGTAATCGACCTAACAGAACTTTCTGTCTTGATGTAAAACAACTGCTTTGAATATATTCAGGTTACCCTATTGGCATGTTCTATTGTGGAACAGATGGCATGAACTTTTATTTTACAGTCGTAGAACAAAAGAAAGTCATAAATCAGTGTAGTTTCCAAGGACAGTGAAGCGGGAAAAATTGTGTGGGTCTCAGACATCTTACAGCACTCAACATTCCCTACTGTTGTAGTGGAGATTGAGCTAGTTTGTTGTCTGTTGTCAAATACCATGACCAAAAGCAACTTGGTGAAGGAAGAATCTGTTTCACCTCCCAGGTCACAGTCCACCTTTGAGGGAGGGAAGTCAAGTAGGAACAGAAGCAGAAACCATGGAGAAATAATGCTTACTGGCTTATGTCTTTCTTTCTTTTAAAAAAGATTTATTTTTATGTGTATGAGTGTTTTGCCAGTGTGTAAGTGTACTACATGCATGCAGTGCCTGAAGAGGCCAGAAGAGGGCATCAGATTTCCTAGAACTGGAGTTACAGGTGGCTGTTAGCTGCCATTTGGGTGCTGGGAACTGAACTCAGGTCCTCTGCAGGAGCAGCCAGCGCTGTTAACTGCTGAGCCAGCTCTTCACTTGTCTTAGCTTTCAACTACTGTGATAAAAACACTGACCAAAACCAACTTGGGGAGGAAAGGGTTTATTTGGCTTACAGCTCACTGTCCATCATCAAGGGAAACCAAGGCAGGAACTAAAGGCAGGAACCCAGAGCAGGAGCTGGAGCACGGACCATGGAAGAGTGCTGTTTACTGCCTTGGTCTTCCAACCTGCCCTCAGCCTTTTTTCTACAAACAGGATTACCTGCCCAGGTGGCACTGCCCACAGTGAGCTGGGCTCTCCCACATCACTCAACAGTTACTCAAGAAAATGCCCCCATAGGCATGGTTACAGGCCAGTCCAATGGAGGAAATTCCTCAGTTGAGACTCCCTCTACCCAGGTGTGTCAAATTGATGATTGAAGCTGTCCAGCACACCACCCCTAGATTTGTTTTTCTTTTAAGGTTTGTTTTTTTTTTTGTTTGGTTGGTTGGTTGGTTGGGTTTTTTTTGTTTTTGTTTTTGTTTTTTGAGACAAGGTCTCCCTGTAGCCCCAGCTGGCCTGGAGCTCACTCTGTAGACCAGGTTGGCCTCAAACTCACAAAGATCACAGAGATCTGCCTGCCTCTGCCTCCCAAGTGCTGGGATCAAAGGCTTGTGCCACCATGCCTGGCTATATTCTTTTAAGATTTTTATTATTTGTGTGTGTGTGTGTGTGTGTGTGTGTGTGTGTGTGTGTGTGTGTAGGTGCCTGCAAAGGCCAAAGGTGTTGAGTCCCCCTGGAATCACAGGCAGTTGTGAACTACTTGACATGGGTGCATAGAACTGAACTTGGATTCTCTGCAAGAACAGTACATGTTATTAACCTCTGAGCTATCTCTCCAGCCCTAATCATCTTTTTACATTTTTGTTATTTTTATTTTCTGTGTATGAGTGTATTGCCTGAATGTATGTAAGTGCACCCATGTCATGCAATGCCTGCAGAGGCCAGAGAGGGTATCAGATTCCCTGGAACTGGAGTTAGGAATGTTTTTTAGCCACCATGTGCATGCTGGGAGTCGAACCTGGGTCCTCTGCAAGAGCAGTCAGTGCTCTTAACCGCTGAGCCATCTCATCAGCCCTAGCCATCTTTCTTATATATCCCACAACCACCTGCCCAGGGGTGGCACTGCCCACGGTGTGCTGGGCTCTCCTATATCAGTCAGTAATCAAGACAGTTTCCCATAGACATGACTACAGGGCAGTTTCATCTGGGAAATCCCTCAATTGAGACTCCCTCTTCCCAGGTGGCTATTAGTTGTGTCAAGTTGATAATAAAAACTAGGACAATGCTAGTAGATACTGTAAAACTTAGTGATACAGTGTGGGAAGTTTGCTTAATACAAGACTGTTGGGTCAGATACCAAAATAGATGTTTAAGTCCCTAAGATACAAGATAATTTTGACCCTTGTCTTACAACATTCTATCTTTCCCCCAACTGAGATACTCTAGTCACCCAGACCAGGCAGCCTGTAGGAGTGTAACGTAGTAGATGAAACTACTTCAGAGACTTCGACTGAGTATTGGTGAATGGGGCACAGTGCTGGGTGGTGGTGAGGATTTTACTTAGCATTCATACAGTTGTAGTTAAAAGGGACAGGCTGTACTTGGTAGCAGATTTTTTTTTCCTTTCTAAATGGTTTTAGAGAATATTTGAGAAAGACTTAACTCTTGGTTGTGAGGTGCATAATTTGGCTAAAGAGTAAATTACTTTGCCTTTGAGTGTCAGCATCTTGATAAAATGGTGCAGCAGAACATAGGAACTCACATCTTGGTGAGTCAGAGATGGAAAGCACGGCAGAGATAAAAGATTGGTGAAAGGCTCATTCCCAGCAGGTAAAGGATGCTCTGGAGTTACTTCCAGGGAACAAGGTGGGAGGATTTCACTGGAGAGAGAACACCTATATTCTTACAAGAAAGTGCTTTAGGGGCCAGCACATCCTAATTGAAGGTGTACCTTTCTGAGCATGTTTAGCTCAAGATCAGAGAGTCCATGTTCAGAGTTAAAAGGGCAGATGTGGACACTTTTGGCATGCTCAGTTTGGGGACATAAAGATAGTGAACATGAATGCTTCTGAGCATGCTCAAATTTAATGTGATAACGAGCCGCTTTACTCTAGGTGTCTAAAAGAATGACTTGGTGAGCCTGGCAGCCTCTGCTACTTTCTCCCAATATTAGCTGAAACAGAAGGGGGAACTCTGAAGGTACATCAGTGCAGCAGTTTGCTCTAAAGGTGCTGGCCTTGCTTAGCAGCTGACCTTGGCACCTTACACCACTCTCAGTGCCAGCTTCCTCCTCTGTAAACAGGATGACAAACTGGTTATTAGTGAGGAGTGTGAACATTAAGCACTCAGTCTGGCACATCTCCTCTTTCTCAGACAAAAAGACCAGAAAGATGCTGGCCCAGGATGCCTCTGCACCAGGTGATGGGAGGGGACATCGTGGGCATGTGCATGAGAGGTTTCACTGCAGGTGTGGAAATGGACAGAAGTGAGGTTTCAGGTGGGTAAGCAGAGGCTTGGGTGGAGGGCAGGTATCTCCCCAGGTGCTACTGCTGCTGGAAGATGCAGGCTGTTTTCCCAGCTGTCTCATCCACTTCAGTGGACATCCAAGTGACCCAGTCACACCAAATCCTTTCATGCAGTGTATCCCAGGGAGCACCCAGGAGTACTTTCCTGTTGCTCAGGCCTGTGTGTAATGAGGATAGCGCAGGTCAGGAGTGCAGGTGGAATGTGGAGAGTGTTGAGGGTAGTGGAGAGTGAATCAATCTGGAAGTGGCACTGAAGAAATAGAAGGTGGCTCATAATGACAGACTTCTAGACCAGAGAGACCAGAGGCTTCCTTTAGCCAGGCTTAGTAGAGCCTTTCCCTACCAGAGGTTCTAGGTCACATCTTTATCCTTTGTGGGTTTGGAAGTTGGTGATAGGTAATTGGGTTGGTGGTGATCAATACTATCTTTCCATTTGGGGGTCTGTGCATCTACTAATTAAAGAAAATATCTGAGAGGCTGGGTAGATGGCTCAGTCTGTAAAATGCTTGCTGCATATGTATGAGGACCCCAATTCAACCCCATGTGGTGGCACATGTTTGTAAGCCCAGTGCTGAGGATGCAGAAACAGGAGGTCCCTGGGCCTTGTTGGCCATCCAGTCTTGGGTAATCTGCAAGCCCCAGGTCCCAGTGAGAGACCCTGGCTATGAAAGCAAGGTGGGCTGGAGAGATGGCTCAGTCAGTAAAGTGCTTGATGCTCAAGCATGAGGCCTGTGCTGGGGAGGCACCGACAGGAGGATCCCTGGACTTACTAGTTCGCCATTCTAGCCAAATCTGTGGGCTCCAGGCTTGGTGAGAGAGCTCATCTCAAAAAGAAAAGTGGAAAGCAATTGAAGAAGATACCCAACATTGACCTCTGGTCTCCTTGCACACAGACACACATGTGCACCTGCACCCTTGCCCCACCCTGCCCCTCAGCACAAAGAGGTGTGATGGTGGACGGCTCCCTGCGGAACAGTACTAGAGGTTAGCCTCTGGCCTTCAGATGCACACTCCCCCACACACAAAAAGAAATGCTTGAATATTATTGTGTAAAAAGTGAAACTGGAGGGGGAAAAGTGATAAAAGTCATACTGGAAGAGTCTGAAGACAAAAAGCCTTCCTGTAACAGACTGAGAGAGCGTCTGCCTTCAATGGAACTTGTGAAGCATAGTTTTCTCAGGGGTGAGTGTTTTGCTTGAGAAAATAGTGTTTATATTTGCAAAGCGCCCTTAATTCTGTAAAGAGTACATATGCATGAAGAGCATATGCTTTGCTCATTCTAGAGAGGATACAGACGCTGGGGTCTGCTCACAGCTGAGCTATATTCTGAACATTAAGACAATGTTCAGCTACAGGAAGCTTCTCAAGAAAGGCCAAATGAAGTGGAGATAATTAGACATAACTCAACATGATGAAATTATTCTAAAATGCCACCTTGAACCTAATTTAAGACAAGTGCATGTTTAGAATGTATTTCTGGATTATGTAGTTAGTTTCCAACTGAGTCTTGAAAATACAGTTGGGAAAAATGTGTTGAACGTGTCAGACTTTTGACTAACAGTGGGAAGCCACAAAGGGAACTCCCCTTTCCAGCTGTGAAGAGAGAAAAGACCTATACAGGGAAGTGGAAATGACAGATGATAGTGTATTAAGATAATCCTTTTTTTTAGAATGATGAAACTTTCTGGAAATTAAGTAGCCCCCCTCCCCCAAAGTGCCTGCTACATTCCAGAAAAGCTTGGTGTGTCAGCGTGTTACTGTTCTGTTAACATTTCTATCGTTTTCCATTGTCGATAAATGAAGGAAACCTTCAGATAAAATGTGTAGCATTCACATTGTCAACTTTGGGAGCCGCTCTGGCTGGTTGGGATTCTTTCAGCCTTGCCTGTGTGTAGGAATGGGTGTCTATTTGCCTTTCTGAATGATTTCATTTTCCTGTTTTTCAGTTATACAAAGAGCATTCTCACTCCATAAGGCACACTCAACAAAGGACATGGAGAATCTCTTTCAGTTGGTGAGAAATATTGTACCCGCTCTAACCTCGAAGAAACACAAAGGGCAAGATGGAAGGATAGGCATAGTCGGAGGCTGTCAAGAGTGAGTGCTGGTTGTGGAATGTTCATGTTTAGAAAGACCGTCCACCTGCCTGCCTGTCTACACCTGTCATCCATCCGACCACTTGCCCATCTGTCTTTGCCTCCACCCATCTGTCCATCTGTCTGTGTTCAGTAATCATTTCCAGTGCAATCTGATAGGATGCAAAGTGCTTCTCAGTGATCACCTTTCTGATTAATCAAACTCTGAGGACCTTCATTGCATTGCTCGGTGGTGAGTGTTGGTGTTGCAGTTTCCCTGTTTCCCATTTTGTCCTCTCTTGCACATACCCGTCTCCATACTGTGTGCCTGTCTTACTTTATCATGAAGATGAGACTACTCAGCAAGCCTGGCTTACTTTACAACTGGAAGCCTTTCTGGAAGTCATGTATGAAGTTCTGTAATGCTAGCCTTCATGAAGACCTGTTTTATCTTCACATTTTGTGAGCTTGCAGTTTGCTTAGCACGGAAGGATTTGCAGTTTGTCCTTGTGATTCCTTCTGCATCTGACCATAGTTCTTCCCTGGTTACTGTTCTGATTCTGCTCACTTTCTGTCTGCACTCATGCGCTACCTCTGTCTATCACATACTATAAATATATAGATTATTTTCTGGAGACAGGTGTCCCACCAGGCTGTCCCATGCAATCCTGTTGCTCTCCCGAGTGCTGGTTTTCAGGTGCGCCCCGCTTTGCTTGGCTGGTTGTTCTTATTTTAGCTTGTGTTTCTGTTTCCCCTTTCCTTGTCTTTCCTAGGCTCTGCTTTTGATTAACTTGGAACATCTTTGCACTTTCAAATTCGGTCCGTGTCATTCTTTCTCTATAGCAGTACTTCAGTCTGCAAGCAACTGGGGAAAGCTTTGGTGGTGGCAGAGCTACCAGGTGCTTCCAGCCAGGGGACCCTGCTTTTCCCATTGTGTGTCTTAGTTCGCAGCTAGACTCACAGCTGGACTCAGAATTCCCAGCTGAACCCTTAGCCAGAAAATTTGTGTATGTTGTGGGGTGCAATAGTGTTTGTTCTTCTGTCTTCCCTTTGTGGTTCATCCTTAGGTAGGAACACTTTGGCATCTTTGGCAGAGCAGCAGGTGACTTGCCCTATGCTGTAGATGTGCTCTGGCGGCAGCAGGTTGGCTATGGGCTCCTTAGGCAGTGGTGAAGTGCTGCTCTGGTAGTCTGTGGGGGGCAATCCATGTGTTTTGTGCACCCAGTTTACTTTCATTTCTAAGCAATGTCATCTTGTGTGGAAACTCATCCTAAAAGCAAAAAGCAAATGCTTTCCATCCGAAGCTGTGTTCCCTTTGGATAAAGCATGTTGGCCTTGGTTACCAGCTCAGTGTCCTTCCAGCCATGGCACTTCCGTGTCCTAGTGGAGACCTGTGCGTACCTGTGGGCCTGGGCAGCCTTTGCTTATGCCCTGTGCTGTGTGTCTCATCCTGGAACTCTGTTGTCAGAAGTGAGAGCACTTGTTTCGACTGTGGAGGAGATGGCCACATGTACAGAGTGGCCCTTCATCCTGTGTGCTTAGCTTTTGTCTCCAGTGTGTTTCCTGCTGGATATGGGCTTACCAGTCATAGTGACTCACCCAGCCCCAAAGGTGAGGGCCTTTCCTTCTGTGTGCAAGTGGCAGTAAGCACCCCATATCCTAACGTGGCTCCCACAGCCTAGTGTGGCCTCAGCTAGTGTCACTCCTTGAGGACAGAGTCCTTCCACTTTGGGAACCTGATCCCTCCTGACTGCCTAGAGCAGGTGGTTACCTCCACCTTCTCCCTAGTAGAAATCTGCAGTCAGCCCTTCCTTGTATTTGGTATGGAGGCCTCAGTCACACAAGCCTATGTTGGGAAATGGTCATAGGTGTCATGTATCTTTGGCTTTTCTAGTTCTGACTCGTGTGTGAATGTCTACTGAACATGTCCTAAGTGCTGGGTTTGTGTTTGGGGCCTGGAGCCTGTATTGATTATTTGACCTTCCCATATATTGATTATACCAGTTCACACATGTTCTTGTCTATATTGGGGACCTATTATGGACAAAGGTGTGTATGCTTCATTGACGTTTTGACTCCAGTGTTTCCATTTTAGGTACACGGGAGCCCCATATTTTGCAGGAATCTCAGCTCTCAAAGTGGTAGGTTTACCACAGACTCCTTTATTGGGGTTTTTCTGATTAAAAGTTGGGCTATTTAGTGGGCTGGGGTGATGGCTCAGCAGGTAAGAACACTTAATGTGCAATCATCAGGGCCTGAGTTCAAATCCCTGACACCCACATAGAAAGTCGGGCATGGCCCTATGGTCCCACATTGTTAGGGGCAGAGACGGGGAAATTTCTTGGGCTTGCTGACCCCCTGCCCAGCTCCAGGTTCAATGAGAGACCCTGTTCCGAGGGAATAAAGCAGAGGTGATAGATCAGGACAGTCTATATCCTCCTCTGGCTTCTAGGCACACACACACTCTCTGGGAAATTATGTATGCTGGACACACCTTGAATCTGCTCTGACCTCTTCCACAGCTACACAGTAACTTGGCATTATAACCTTTAAAAAAAAATTAAATTTTCTTTGTATTTTACTTCATCAAAATGATCCTTGGAGGCCTTTTTTAGGTCCCATTTTAAGCTGCTGATGCCTTTAATCCAGTTGAGCAGTTAGCATGTAGTGGTTGGGATGGGTCTGGCTGGTGGTATGGCTCTGCCTTGTACCTGAGAGGGCAGTAGAAATCTGGCTGAGTCGCCAAGCATTTTCTTAATTCATTTGCCATTTCCTAAAGCCACTGTCTAACTTCAGTCTGTATTTGGGTTTGGGGAGCATAAGCACTGAGTCGGACATCATATGTCACAGCATGAGAGCTTGTATGTGAAGCTGCTTGCAGCCCTGTTAACCGTGGCCTCCTCTAAGCCCACCTCTGATTTCACTTCTCAGGGTGCAGATTTGACCCATGTGTTCTGTACCAGGGAGGCTGCGCCTGTGATCAAGTCCTACAGCCCCGAGCTGATTGTCCACCCAGTCCTGTGAGTCTATGTGCGTAGATGTCTTTACCTGCAGCAGCATTTTCACACTAACGCTAGGGCTGCTAAGTGTCTGCTGTGCTGTTTGTGGCGGGTATTATATGGAGTAAGAAATCATAGGGAAGCCAGACCTGGTGGCACATACCTGCTACCCCAGCTACTCAGGAGGCTCAGGCAGAAAGCTTTCAAACTGGAGGCCATCTGGACAGCTTAGTGAGACTCTGTCTCCATTAAATTTAAAAATTTTAGAAAGGTCTGGGGTGTAGCTCAGTGAAGCCCTACGATGGAGCCCTAGCAGCACAAAGAAAGAAGAGAAAAAGGAAGCCGTAGTGAGTCTACTGTTCTTCTACCAGAGTAAGACAGTGAGAGGCTAGAGGAGGGGCCTGAGGGGCAGGCTAGTGCTGTTTGTGGGTCACTCAGTTCCAGTGGCGGTCTGGGCTCTGGGGTTCAGTGCCTATTCCTGTGGCTCCCCAGAGTAGCCCTAAACTGGAGAACTGCAGTGCCATCCTCTCCACAGGCCAGGCAGTGCCACCAGCTGTTGGCTGGTAGAGCTTAAGGTGGAGGTCAGGACGGGGTCCTTTTTTGCTTTTTAAATATGTATGAGTATTTTGCCTGCATGTATGTAAATTGCACCCATATGTGCAATGCCCACAGAGGCCAGAAATGGGTGACAGATCTCCTGGAACTGGAGTTACAGTTGTTAGCTGCCATGTGGATGCTGGATATCAAACTCAGGTCCTCTGCAAGAGCACCTGGTGCTCTTAATCACTGAGCCATCTCCAGCCTGGACAGGGTCCTTTTTTGTCTCTCTCTTTTAAAAAAAATTTTTTTCTTTTTTTTTTCTTTTTAAGTTTTATGTGTATGAGTGTATTGCTTGCTGTGTGTAAGTGCACCCATATCATGCAATGCCTGTGGAGGTCAGGAGAGGGTGTCAGATCCCCTGAAACTGCAGTTACGGGCGGTTATTAACTGCCACGTGAGTGCTGGGAATTGAACCCGGGTCCTCTGTAAGAGCAGTCAGTACTCTTAACTGCGGAGACATCTCTCCAGCCTCTTGTTGTCTCATTTTAATTACAATAAAATAAAGTGAAATAAAATAGTCCAAAAAGCCAAACCCAGAATAACCCAGTCCATGGAGAAGATTAAGGAGCTGTGAAGGCCAGTGTGGGGTCTATATTGAGCCCTGGGACAGGAAACATGGGGTTGTGGGTCAGTTGTTGAGAGTTGACAGAGTCTGCAGGTGAATTCCTGGTATGGAGCCAACTCCAACTTCTTGTGATAATCTGGAATATTAGTATGCAGGATGCTGACAGGGGAGCCTGGGGGGGAGAGTCTGTGGAAAGGTGCTGTATTATTTTGCAAATTTCTACAAATCTAAATTATTCAAAATAAAATGATTTAGGACTGAAGATATAGCCTAGCATGTGCAAGGCCTCAGTTTAGTGTACAGTATTCTACACAAAAAGCAGTTTGTAAAGTAAGCAATTAAATGGAAACTTGAAAAAAACCATTCCACCCTTTTCCTTTTTTAGTGACAGTTCTAATGCCCTCCAGGAGGTAGAGAAGTGGCTCCCCAGGCTGCATGCCCTTGTCGTGGGGCCTGGCCTAGGTAGAGATGACTTCCTTCTCAACAACGTCATGGTAAGTGGTTTCATTGTCAGACAGCTCAGCTCTACATTGGGGCACAAGCGTTTGTTGCATGTTCCAGTCACAAACTGCACACTTGTTTCATCTTTGGGCTCTTCTTAGAGGTGGATGGATGACTTATAAAATGAACAGGTTCTAGACTAATGACTTCTAATTAACCTTGGCAAACTCACCAAACCTTGTGTTTTGTGACCAGAGCATTTCCTGGGATCCTCAATTTGGTACTACACCCAAAAAGATAATGAATGAATATGGGTATGCTTGAGAATTAACGTTATCAAAGCACTGAAAGACAGTGCCCCGTCTTCATTGTGCACAGAGAAGATTGGGAAGGAGGTTCTGGAACTAGGGGTGAAAAGACAGAATGGTCTGTAAGACAAGGGAAGATCCAAACTTGTACTTCCCCAGGGAAGCTGAAGAAACCGGTTTGAATAAAAATGTGTGAGGCCTGGCAGGGGAGCACACAGTTCCAGGAGTCAGCCAGTTCTGAGAGATAGCTGGGGGAATGAGTGTCCTCTGAGTTCGGGCCCACTCTTAAAATCTTAAGAGTCGGGCTTTTTTGTTCAGGTAATTGTAATGTTAGCATAGTAACATTAGTAGATGGAGAAGACGTGTTGTGAGGTGGGGGAACTGATGCTGCTGGTAGTCATGAAGGACTTTCAGACCAGACCAAACCGGATGAGTGTCTTGTTCACTCTTGGCACTGGTGGTTTCACATGAGCAAAGGGCTGGCATGGGATTTCCTGTCTAGTTCATGGAGGAGCAGCAGAACTGAGGCATGGACAGAAGCTTGGCATCAGGCTTGAGTAAACCCCTGCAGGGTGACCCCGCTTGCCAGGGAATCCCAGCAGTGACTCTATCTCTGTTGATTTTCTCATTCTGGGTATTTCATGAGTGGAATTGAATCACATGCTGTCGTGTGACTAGTCATTCACACAGCATGTTGTCATATTTGTAGTTCATGTAGTGTTAGACTTTTCCTCCCTCCTGACTTGTCCAGTATCCTGGGTGAAATTCAGTAGACCCTAAATGTGAAGGTGCATCTGGAACACTGCCGTGGCCTGTGTTTTCCCAAGACTTGGGTTCAGCTTCTTGGTTTGTAGAAGAGGCAGCTGGGGCTGCAGGAGGGAAGAATCTTGTTGACCCTGTGGGCGAAGTTGGGCAGAACTGCTGCCTGTATGGTAAGCTTCCATTCACAAGCCGCTTTTGAACCTAAGTTGTCTGCCTTCACACTCTATTCTGTAACTCATCTGTGGGTCCTGGAGACATTTTCCTGGTATGATATGGGTGGTCCTCCCTTTTTAACTATTTTACTAGCTGTATCATAACTGGTATTTACTGTGGTATACATACTGTTATGCTTTTAACCAGTATGTGTGGACTGTTTTTCCATTTTCAGTGTCTTGATATTTATACACATGTGCATGTGATAGACACAGCCTGGCTTGACAGTTTCTTTGGATCAACCGTTGAGGTCCCATTGAGGAACTAAAGTATGGACGTGTGGGAGAGGCTCCAGGACTCTCAGACTTTGAGGCTTGCCCTCCCAGTGACAGAATACCCTCCCAGGGCTCTGCCCCTGGCACTGTGACTCATGAAGAATTTGTTATGCTTTCCAGTGTTTGAGTGTTCTCTTTGGGCTGCTTTATTAGGAAAGCCTAGAAGAGACCATGGTGTTGTATTGTGAAATGCCACCGTAGGAAATCAGAAATGGACCTGCAATCTGAGTCAGAGAGCCCTGTAGGGTTATCAGTTAAGCCAAGTCACAGCAAGCAGGTCAGAGTTCATTAAAAAGGAACCAGCTTCCCTGAGGTTCCTGTGACTTGACCACACTTAGGGAACTTTTCACCCACACTCAAAGAACACTTAGACCAGAGCCGAGCAAAATAGATGTTTCCTATAGCTGGAATATTCCTCAAGACACAAGGACTGGGACCAGGTTCTCATTTTTTACTGTTGCTTGTTTATCACTTATTTTCTTTTTAAAAAATTTTTTAAAGGGACTAGAGAGATGGAGATCAGGGATCGAATCCCAACACCCACATGACAGCTAACAACTGTCTGTAACTCCAATTCTGGGAGATCTGTCACCCTCTTCTGACCTCTGTGACCATTGCATGGCATGGGTACATTTACATACGTGCAGGCAATATACATGCACATAAAATAAAAATAAATTTTAAAAAATTTAAAAATTAAAAAAAATTTTGTGTGTGGCAGTGTTGTATTAAAGAAAGAGTAACTTGGGCTGGAGAGATGGCTCAGCAGTTAAGAGTGCTTGCTGCTCTGTCAGAGGACCCAGGTTCAGTTCCCAGCATGGTGCCTAACGTTGGGGAGCCAACACCCTCTTCTGGCCTGTATGAAAACTGCATGCATGTAATGTACTTGTTTACATGCAGGCAAAACACCTATGTACATACAATAAGAATAAATTAAGTGGCCAGGTGTGGTGGCACATGCCTGTAGTCCCAGCACTTGGAAGGCAGATCTTTGTGAGTTCAAGGCTAGCCCAGTCTAGTCTACACAGTGAGCTTCAGGCCAGCTGGGGCTACAGGGAGATCTGTTTCAAAAAGTCCAAAAAAAAAAGAAAGAAAGAAAAAGAAAAGAAAAAAGAATAAATTTGAAAAAGAAAGAGCTTGGATTCATTTAACCAAGAGTGAGCCTGATCTATTCTCAGAACAATTTTGTTCTGATTTCACTCAGAGCTGCTCCTTTGAACAAAGAGTCTTCTCTGTATTTAAATAGCACATCCAGCATGGTGTGGGAAAGGAATGGGGTTTTTATATGTATGAGTGTATTGCCTGCATGTGTGTAAGTGCACCTATGTTGTGCAGTGCCTAAGGAGGTCAGAAGAAACCATCAGATCCCCTGGAATTGGAGCTATAGATGGTTGTTAACCACAATGTGGGTGCTGGGAATCGAGCCTGGGTCCCCTGCAAGAGCAGTCAGTACTCTTAACCGCTGAGCCATCTCTCCAACCAGGGGGAACTTGGTCTTTAACCAGAGTTTTACAAGGGAAGAAGTTGCCTTTTCTGACTCTCCTGGCCTAGAGTAGCATGTAAAGCCATAAACCGATATTATAGACCTATGCCCCCAAGTCACCTTCAACACTTCACTGCTTGCTTCCAAGTCCCTGCTTTTAGCAATACCATCACAGCATGCATGCGCGCGCGCACACACACACACACACACACACACACACACGCACACACATATTCTGGGCTGGGGCCAAGGAAGAGTCATAAAGGAGAAATAGGGAACATAGTTTAAGATTAAAGCTACAATTCAGCTTAGCTTGTAAAAGCTGATTATATGGGGGCCCAAGGCCTAGTAACATTGTTTACATTATTTTGTTAAAGGCTAGCTAAATTTAAACAAGTTGATTACAGAGTAGGAAAGCAGATTGAATACATAGTATTAAATGATCTCAAAGGATAGGATTAACTGGGTTACAATATTACATAAAAGTTCCATTTGTAAAAAGGCATTTCTAAAGTCATTCCCACATGATTGTTTTGCCTGCACGTATTTGTGGGTACCCTATGGGTTCATGGTGTCCTCAGAGGCCAGAAGAGGGTGTTGAATCCCCTGGAACTGTAGTTAGAATGGTTATAGTGGGTGCTGGGAACCAAACATGGGTCAAACACAAGTGCAGCAAGTATGTTTAACTGCTGAGCATTCTCTCCATCCCTTTTTAAATTAAAAAAAAGAATTTATGAGCTGGGTGTGGTGGCACACACATTTAATGCTAGCAGTCAGGAGACCAAAACTTTAATGGTAGCGCTTGGGAGGCAAAGGCAGGTGGGCCACTGTGAGTTGGAGGTCAGACTGGTCTACATAGTGAGTTCCAGGACTGCATAGTAAGATCTTGTCTCAAAAAAAAAATTTTATTTTGTGTGGGTATGTGTGTATGTGTGGGGGTGTGGACCTGTCATGCCAAGCTTGTGTGGATACCAGCACAATTTGTGAGAGTTGGTTCTCCCACCATGTGGGTTCTGGGGATCAAACTAAGGTTGTCAGGCTTAACAGCAAGCACCTTTACCACACTGAACCATCTTGCTGGCCCAAGTAGACATCACTTTTTAATATCTGATATCTGATTACCATGTGGTTTTTTTTTTTTGTCTTAATAGGATTTTTAAAAATGTATATAACTGTATTGCCTACATGTATGTAAGTGCACCCATGTCAGAAGAAGGTGTTGGATCCCCTGGAACTGGAGTTACAGATGATTGTTAGCTGCCATGTGGATGTTGGGAATTGAACTGGAGTCCATCCCCACCATGTGTAGTTTTGGCATAACATGTTGGTTACTATTTTGGTTATATGTGTTTATACTTTTTAAACAGAAAACTGTATAGGATTAAGGTATAATCCTGTCAAATTGGTTGACCATCTATTATTTTGGTCACTTGTTATCTTAAAGCATGTAAATAAAATGGTAATACAAATGGATAATTGGGGCTGGAGAGAAGGCTCAGTGGTTAAGAGCACTAACTGCTCTTGCAGAGGACTTGGGTTCGATTCCCAGCACCCATATGGTGGCTAACAACTGTCTGGAACTCCAGTTCCAGGGGATCTGTCACCATCTTCTAAGGCATTGTATGAGATGGGTGCACTTACATACATGCAGACGTATACTCATACACATAAAAATAATAAAATGTTTTTTTAAAAAAGAAAAATGATTTGGAATTCAGATTTGAGTTCTGAGGGACAGTATGTATTGGGAATTTGAAAATTGTAGATGGGTCTTCAGGGGTTAGCCTAGGAACCCACACAGTACTTGGTGCCCCGCCTTACTAGGCTAGATCATGGCCCTTCTCTGTTTTACCATTGCCTGTACTATTTTGTGTTTGCTTACAAGTGACCTGGTATTGCACTACATTAAGTGCTGCCTGGTTCATTTGGTTCCTTTTGAGAGGGGATGGACAACAATTCTTGTTCGGCTTGTATTCTTTTCTTGCAGAACATTTTGGAAGCAACTAAGGCCAGGGACATCCCCATCATCATTGACGCGGTGAGTGTGACCTCTTGTCTCCCCATGCAGCAAGTGCAGGGCCTCTGAGCCTACTGGTGAAGGTGTGTCCTTGTTCTGAACAGGATGGCCTGTGGCTGATTGCACAGCTGCCGGCCCTCATCCATGGCTACCAGAAGGCCATTCTCACCCCCAACCGTGTGGAGTTCAGCAGACTCTGGGAAGCTGTGGTAAGTTCATGGGCTTCAGGAAAGAAGGAATGTTAGCCCCCCTGACCTGAGGTGAAGGATGGGCTCTGTGGTTGTGGCTTGTGACCAGGTCAACCGTTTGAGCCCCTTTCTTCAGGGACCCTGACTTATAGATCACTAGTGGGCGTTTCCCCTGCGCTCCACCATGCATGCCTCTAAGAGTTCCTGTGCATCTTTGATTGGATGAACAATGGTGTGGTGACCTTGGGACAGGCCCCGCCTGCTGCCAAATCACTGGCCAAATCACTTACTGTGTCCTGCAGCGGCTAGTGTTGTCAGGCTATGGCATCCACCCCATGGGATACAGGGATGGAATGACATAAATATGAAGTATAATGAAGACGAGAGTCCCGACAGCAAGTGTCCCATTGTCATTCAGATTTTCATAATTTCTGTAAATCTGGTTTGACCAGCTAGGTGTGGTGGCACAACCTTTAATCCCAGGACTCAGGAAGCAGAGGCAGGTGGATCTCTGTGAGATTGAGGCCAGTGTAGTCTTCATAGTGAGTTACAGGCCAGCTGGTGCTACAGGGAGATCCTGCTTTAAAAGACAGGAAAAAAAAAATCTGGTCTGTTCAGATAGAGGTCAGGTTCTAGAGTAAACACTAGGTCAGAATCCCCCTCAGAGGGCTAGGGACCAATATCCTAGACCTCCTGCCATCCACCCAGCCCTTAACCAGTGCTCTTGATTTTTGTAGGCATGAACATCTGAGACTCTTGGATAGGATGGTATTTACCCTGCCACTGGAAGACTTGATTTTCTGTGCTTGTTGTCCTGTGTTGTAGCTCACAGGTCCTGTGGATACCAAAGACCACAGTGGATCTGTGTTGAAGCTCAGCCAGGCCCTGGGGAACATCACAGTAGTCCAGAAAGGAGAGCACGACCTGATCTCCGATGGCTGGCAGGGTGAGTGGGGGTGAGGGAGTGGCTTCCCTCTCTGCATGTTAGTCACACTGGGCTCCAGCCCCGGAACATGTGTGCATGTGCATGTGTGTTGACATGCATTGAATTTGTCAGCCACAGCATCTTTAAAGTCCTGTGTTCTACTTCTCATGGTTTGCATAGGATCTATGATAGCAGATTTCAAGCCCTGACTGTAGGCTTAGCAATGGCCAAGGCGTTGAAAATCATTTATAGAAGCAGCTGTGGGCCAGAGATCCTGCATAATCCTAGACCACCATCCCCAGCCTGCCACCTCCCTTTTACTAGGCACCCATGACATAGTCATCTGAGTCTTTTACTGTTTGGTCTTATTTTATAAAAATAACTGGGAGGCAGAGGAACCCTCTGAACTAGCATTGGTTGGGAATGTCAGCTGTCTTCCCCTAGAAGCTTAAAGGCTGCTGAGCAAGAGCAGGGTTGGAAGCAGGGACAAGTGCATGGGGTCCCGAGTGGGTATACCACTACACTCCCAGATAAGAGTTTCTTTTTTCATTCTGAGCTGACCACCGAAACAGTTTAGTACAAGTAGCTGTTGGTGGGCTGGAAAGATGGCTTAGTGATTAAGAGCACTTGCTGCTCTTGCAGAGGACCCTGGTTCAGTTTCCAGCGCTCACATCAGGTGGCTCATAACCGTCTGTAACTCCAATTCCAGGGGATCTACATTCTCTTCTGGCCTCCGAAGAGGACGTGTTACACTTACATGGCTGCAAAACACTCATGCACATAAAATAAAAAATTTTTTAAAAAACCAAGTAGCTAGGCCGGGTGTGGTGGCGCACGCCTTTAATCCCAGCACTCAGGAGGCAGAGGCAGGTGGATCTCTATGAGTTCAAGGCCAGCCTGGTCTACATAGTGAGTTCCAGGACAGCTGGGGCTATAGGGAGACTGTCTCAAAAATTCCGTAAAAAAAAAAACAAACCAAAAATAAAAAACAAAAAACCAAGTAGCTGTTGGTGAGGTGTAGAGTTGTTGACCAGGGACCTGAATTTAGAGTCCTTAGAACACTAAGAGGGACAGCATCATGCATGTAGAAACATGCATGTCCACGCACAGCCTTGAGTAGGACGTATACAGAATGATCTCAGGACACCCAGATGTTGAGATGAGGTTCTATCAGAGGAAACCTCACCCAGCACACTCAGAGATAGCATTGGGTTTTTTAAAAAAATTCCTAAAGAAACACATTCTTGCATGCACAGGTATAGTAAGACATGATGGTTAATGGGGATATCCATGTGGGATATTAGGGAACATTATTGGTGGACCTTTTGAGGTATATGTTGAGGTTAGGGTTGGGCTGCAGGATCGGGGCTGATTATCAGGAGCTCATCCTCCCAGTCTGTGAGGTATGGATCCTTGGAACAAGTTGGAGGTGGTGTAGCAAGTGGTGCTGAGAGGCAGCTCAGGAGGAGGGGGTGCTGACACCCACACTCATGTCTGCTCTGTGTTCTGTGCAGTGCTTGTGTGCAGCCAGGAAGGCAGCAGCCGCAGGTGTGGAGGCCAAGGAGACCTCCTGTCGGGCTCCCTGGGTGTCATGGCGCACTGGGCCCTCCTCGCTGGACGGGAGAAAACAAATGGGTATGGCTGTATCTTCATTTGTTCTGCTCAATATTGTTTCATTTTGTCAGTTTTCCTAATAGTTCATGCACTGAATCCCTTGAAACATCCCAGATGAACTTTTAGTCCTACATGTGAGACATCCTGGAGCAGGTTCCCCTGTCCACAGAAAGTGCTATATGCCTGTGCCTGGAGGGTTTCAGAGTTCCAGCTAATCTGCCAAGTAGTCATGTTTGAAGATGCCATTGTGGGGAGTTCAGCCTGGCCCGTGTAAAACTGGCAGTAGAAAGCACACAGGCTAGAGGGAGGCTAATAGGTGTGTAATTCTCTGGGCAGCAGGATGCTAAGCTTACAGGCAGTTTCCACACCTCTGAACCTCCCCTGCAGACCTTTATGGCCACACATGCTAGGTATGGGATGCCCAGCTTCTGGAAGCCCCACCTGGCACCACTGGTGCAAACAGGGTATGTCATATAGACCTGAACTTTGCTTAATTCTGCAGGGCAAAGGCACAGGATAGGTTATATAGTGGGGCAGCATTCTGCCATATTCCAGGAAAACAGTGAACACCATTACAGCATGTACCACCAGTAAGCTCCTGTCCTCAAAAGAAACTGTTTCTCTTGTGCTGATTAGCTCCACAGAATGGGATGGTGGCGGTGGGGATGCTGAGGATCAAACCCAGGGCCTTGTGCTTTCTAGGCATGTGGTCTGCCTCAGTTCTAACAGAAGGATGTGTTGGATGTGCCTCCTGCCAGGGACTCGGTTTCCAAGTGTTTGTGCTTGGATGCTGTGATAAAGCTTCCTCCTCAGAGGTCTGGTTGGCTTGAGTTTGCCATTTGGAGCCTTAGAGTGGGAACATCCCAGAGCCCTCACTGGTCTGGAGGAAGCCTTTGACTCTTTTCTCCCTCTACAGCTCCAACCCACTCTTGGTGGCTGCCTGGGGCGCTTGCACACTCACAAGGGAGTGCAACCACCAGGCCTTCCAGAAGTATGGTCGCTCCACAACCACCACAGACATGATCGCCGAGGTGGGAACTGCCTTCAGCAAGCTGTTCAAGACCTGAGCCAGCAAGGGCTGAGGGGGCAACACTGCCCTCCCGAATGTCCTCCACATGACGAGCCACAGGCCTGGCAGCATGGCTGCTTGCTGGGTCTTGAACTAAACTGGCTGACTGAGAATTTGGGACACAGTTGTTTTTGTCTTACTAAAATACAGTTGAGATGTTGTGACACTAAACTGGGCATCCTGCACTTTTCTTAGCCTCAGCAGTAGTGAGAAGAGAATAAACATCCTCTGAGCAGCCCAGCTGGATCTGGGCTTGTTCTAGACAGACAGGGAGTGTGGAGTCATGCTTACTCTCTGCTTCTTATGCCCGTCCCTTTTTTTACTGTTATTGGACACACCTCTGGCAGGGATCCAGTCTGTTTTCAGATAGCTAGTGGCAGCAGTTTTTAAATGAGGTCCAGTAACGGCCATTCTTCAGCCTGTTTGTTTTCCATGTGGGATTGGATTATGGATTAATTTAGAGAATATTTCAGAATAACCAGTGACCACTTATCTGGAGACCTTTTGGAGGCCTTGTGGGAAGAGCAGGAATCATGGGTACCACTATGGAAGGGGATGGCAGGAAACGTCAAGGTGCCACCAGTTTCCCTGTCTGTCATCCATGTCTGTCACCCATTTCTGCACATAGTCCCCATGGTGGCTGACAGCCAGCCCCAGGAGAGTGGCTGTCACCAGGGACAGCCCTGTTCTTGATGCAACAGTCAGCACCAGGCTGGGAAGCGGCAGGTCAGATGTTAGATTTCAGCTTTGCTGACTGGGGTGATAGCATGGAGGGACCCAGGGAAAAGGGTAAATGTTGCTGCCGCTTCTGCTCACGAAGCTTCATGGGTGTGTTCTCAGATCATGTGCTACGTTGGCGAGGCAACCTGAGTTCCTGCAGACTGTGCTGCTTTTATTTCTGTGGATACAGAGTGACTGACTGGTCACTGGATCTCCATCTTGTCCCAGGGTGTTGGAATGTGGCTGATGACACCTTTCCAGAAGGGCCAATGTGGGAAGCTCTGAACCTTGAACTGTACTTGGTAGTTCAAACTATAGTCCAGATGGTTCTGCTTCCTTTAAAACTAGCCAACTTTTGAGTTTGTTTGGGTTGTTTTCATTTTTGCTACTGCTGTTTCATATCTCACTTTAGAAGTTTCACTATCTCCATGTGAACTATTCTGGAACAACTGGGCTGCAGATGTTTTTTCTCTGGGAGATTGCTTCTAAAGCCTAGTAACTACTAAAGACTGTGTGCTGAATAGCTTTAGTTGTCAACTTCACACACCTGGGTAGAGGGAGCCTCAACTGGGGAATTGCCTCCATTGGACTGGCCTGTGGCCATGTCTGTGGGGTATTTTCTTGATTGTTGAGTGATGTGGGGGTGCCACCCTGGGCAGGTTGTTCTGTATTATATAGGAAAGCAGGCTGAGCATGGGCCAGGGGACCAAGCCAGTGAGCAGCATTCCTCCATGACCTGTGCTTCAGCTCCTCCCTCCAGGTTCCTGCCCTGAGTCCCTACCTTGGGCTCCCTCAGTAACAAACTATGACCCTTTCTTCCCCAAGTTGGTATTGGTCAGAGTGTTTTGTCACAGCAATGGAGAAGCAAACTAGAACAGACTGACTTAGTAGGGTGTGGTTGTTCAGGTTGTAATCCAGCAGTCAGCAGGGGGAGGCAAGATTGCCAGTCCCAGGAGACATAGCTGTTGTTAGTGCTGACCTAGTATGTGCAAGGCCTTGGGTTTGAATCACAAGCACTGCCAGAAAAAAAATTTAAAAACACAGGTCTAGTCTGAATGTTGAGCTTTTTGTTTGTTTTCTGAAATAACCTGCCTCTCAGCTTTCCCACATGAAGATGTCATGTCCAAGCAGCCAAAAAGACAGGCCTCTCTGCCTGGTGTTTCTTGGCAGCACCTCCACCTGCCAGTCAACTCCTCTGAAGAGTAAGCCCCAAATAACCATTGCCTTCATAGGAAATAAAGTTCAGTGGTCACAGAAACTAGTCTGGTCCTTTTGATACTTAAACTTTTCTCTCCCCAAATAGCATCCCTTCATTTAGGGTAGATAGGCTGTCCACCCCGGCAGCTGAGCCACGCGTACTTTATTGCAGTTGGCGGCTCTGTTTTGCAAACTCAAAGTCACTCACTAGTTCCAGTCAAAGACTTCTGTAGCCGGTGCTTCCCTGGGCCTAGGATAACAGTGCAGAAGCGTTTGGTGGTCAGGTGAAGAGTGGGCCATGGGCGGAAGTCTTCCCCCAAGTATTGTGAGGCCCTGTTGAGGTGTATTGGGAGACACCCTCTAGGAATCCTCCCTCAACTTTTTTGTTGTTTTTAAGGTAAGGATCTTGATATGTAGCCCAGGCTGACCTCAAACTTATAGCAGCTATGCTGCCTCAGCATCCCGAGTCAGTGCTACCAAGTGAGTCCCACCATGCCTAGCACCACTCTATCTTAAATTTAGCAGTAAGGCTCCTGAACTATAGGTTGGAAAAGCAACACCACTAGGCCTCAAAAGTGGAATGGTGACTACAAACAGACGCTGCCCTCTGGGTCTACACCCAGCAGAGATTAAGAGGCTGACCTAATGGAAAGGGACAGTAGAAGCAGAAGAAGAGCCTGGCCTAAAAGAGTCATGTTGTCTCCTGCTTGTTCACCTGACAGCTGGTGCTTGACCTCCTACAAAGGGGAGAACATAGGAGCCAGGTGGTAAGAGCAGCAGCCCACCACCTTGGGCTTGGGCTTGCTCTCATCAGCTGTGGCTGTCAGACCTCACTGTAGCTGCCCTCAGTTCACATGGATCCTCCTGGGCTTCACTGTCTGCTGGCATGGTGGTCAGGATGTTAACTGCTATAGTGACAGGGTGCTGCTTCTGTGCACACATCACTGTGTATCCAGAAAATGTAAACTGGTTAATCATCTGGGGGAAAGAGGAGTTCTGTGTTGAGCACCCGCTGTTCCCTGCAGCCACATGGTACCCTCCTCACTGTCTACTGGGCTTTCCTCCCTTGTGTAGCCTGGCAACTGTACAACCAGCAAACGGGGGTCCTGGTCCTGGTCCTGGGCTCCTCCTGTATCGTCTAGTCCTTGGGCACAAGGGCCAGCTGCTCTCCCATGCCCAAGAATGTCCCCTGAACAGCTGACGTGATTTGACTGAAGTGAATGTTGAGAATATGGCCATTGCTACTACCTCCAAATTAACTTTTCAGATAGTTCAAGACAGACACCAGTGGACAGCACTGGCTCACTTTAATGTTGGCTGAACAGCCACAGTCAGAAACTTTAATATAAAGTTTTCATCACAAAAGAGCAGGTACCATGGCAGGACAGGAAGAGCCTGAGGCTGCCCTCCTCAGCTCCTGGTTTCCCGGCGATTTGTTCTTGGATCCAGCAGTTCCCATGTGGAAGTTGTGCTGCTTCTGTCCTGGGGAGGGAGAAGGTTCTGAATAGGCATCATGTGCTCTTAACTCAAGGGTGACAGGTCAGAGAGTGAAGTCTGAGAAAGCAGTGGGATGCTGAGGAGAGGGAGACCACTGTCCTCTCACAGGGCCTCTCAGGTAGTAAGCACAGCTCATATGTGCTGAGCTTGGTGGCTCTTCCAGCCATTATACCCCTGTCCTGTATCTGCCTTCTGGGTGGGTCTCTTGGAACAGTGGATGCCACTGTCAGCCCCAAGCACTGTGACTCCCAACATACCCAGCTTTTAGGGTGATATGGATAGCTGTTGGGGAACCCTGCTGTTAAGGTCGACTCCTTTTAGCAGGGACCTCCTATTCTCTGCCTGACTTACCTGGAAAGTGTCCCCAAGCACGGATGCTTGGCCTCATTTGAAACATGACCTTTGGCATAGTTACCTGCAATAAAAACTGCCCCCAGGTTTTTTCTATATGATAATTAGGCATTGCCCTATAGCCAGATGATAGGATCCCCCTACCATATGTAAATAAAGCATACTCTGAGCACCTATCAGCTGAAGCTTTGGCTACTGCCTCCACACTAAATTTTCCCTGACCCTCACTGAATAAACGGAGCTATTTCACTGAGTCTGGAGCTGTATCACTGAATCTGCCTCCCCAGAAAGTCTTTTTCTGTCGTGTTCACTGGCCATCCTGAACCCGTTCGTTGCTTCTGCTCCCTTTGTCCTCGTGGATTGGTGGCCAACGGCCCGCGACGGGAGGGAGAGACCCACAGATAGCCATTGTATTTGCATTAGCCTCACCTTAATGTTGATGCCGTGGGCAGCAAGGTCCTGGCGCAAGGTATCACAGGCCTCCAGCAACGGCTGCCTCTCCTGGAGCTGCTGTCTTCGGGCCTCCCCAGTGGCCTCAGGTGTGGTCAGTGCATACTGGCGGACCTTCTGCCGGAAGTGCACCAGCTCATCCACCACACTGTGCAGAGTTGCTGCACTGCTGTCTCCTGAAACACACTGAGCCACAGACACTGTGCTGCACAGGCGTGCCCAGCAAGACGGGGTCCCTACTCTGAGTCCGGAAGGCCATGTTCAGTGACAAGGTACTGTATGGGTGTACCTGGCAGAGCAGGGGCCCCGCCTACTGCCTGCAAGGCCACACTGAGCTAGGTTCTGGGCTACAACCTACTTGGTCCACGTTTTTACTAGCTCCCTAATGCCAGCCTTTTCTGGGACTTGGGGTAGGGGGTGGTGGTGAGTGAATCTGGCTAGTGCCAGGTACAGGTGAGCAACTCAGGAGGGATAGGTGGACTCGGGTGCCCTGAGGATAGCCAGGGCGTGGTTGCCAGAGACACAGCCAGCACCACACAGCCAGGCAGGACCTCCCACATATACCTGGCCTATATCAAGGTCCTGGGAGGATGGGCCCAGCAGCTGGACCCTGTACTGTGAAGGACCACATGTACAGATGGGAAAGCCAGAGGAGCACCTATCACCAGAGAGATGCCAACCATGGGGAACACAAGGTACCTCACCCAGGCCTGCAGCCTACTCTCAAATGGCTTGGGGGGTCGGGGGGAGGACATGTCCTATCAGATGTGTATCTTCTCTGTCAAAAGAACTGAGAGCAGGAAAGTTGCCAACTGCCACTGAGCGTGAGGGTAGGGCGGGAGGGGTAAGGCTCGGCTGTGCTGTAGACGGAGTAGGGACTAACCAGATCCCTGCACATCATAGAGTGAATCCAGCACTTTGTTTAAGTTTCTTAAAACAAACAAACTTCCCAAAGGAGAAAGGCCAGTGTGCCAACATGTAGGCAGTTTCACAAGTAAGCATTTGAAAGAGATGGAAGTACCTGTTGATTTGCCAGAGAAATCCCAACAGTCTCAAAAAATTGCTCCACGTAGGAGATGATGGCGCCAAACACAGTGGGGCTTCTTGGGCCACCAGCCCCCTGCAAAAGGACCAGTGGAGGTCAGGAGGAAGGGGCTTGGTGTCGGGGCAGACCAGCATGCACTCCTGCTTCGGCTTCTGTGGACTGAGAACCAAAGGTCCCTGTGGCACAGCTGGTCTCAATGGCAAACCCCACTGCCTAGGGTATACTGGTTCTTGTGGGCTAAGCATGGCCATGGGGTTCCAATGATGGCAACTGCGGGTCTCAGATTTGGAGTAGAAAGCAAGGGAATTCTGAAGGGTCTGGTGGGTGTCAGTCACTGGCTCAGAGACCCGTGTGAGCATGTGAGCCAAATCTTGTTCCTGGAACAGCAGGTGTCAACCCTGCACCCGGCCCCTGCCCAGTTTCCTAATCAGCCTGTGCACTGCCTCCCCACAAGGAGGCCCTGGATGTTCAGGACTCACAGGGAGTGATGCTTGGAAGCCAAGAGAAGTCTGAGGGAAGCTGCGGCTGACAGCCAGGCTAGAACAACCCTGGGACTGCCCAAACAGTTGCTCTGGATGTACCTGACCTGCTGCTGTATGTGTTCAGTGTGTGCAGTGTGCACCTGAACCAGTGGAGGCTGAATGACAATGAAGGAACTCAGGTGAGAGGCATCTACAGTCCATCTAATCCATCTGGTATCTTGTATAGCTATGGAGCTCCCAAAAGCTTGTCAAGCACACAGACCCCGGTCCAACTGTAGTGACTGACAGTGTCATCTGGAAATCTGTACCCTACTCAAGAATCCAAAATCACACATGGCCCCTGGGAGCCACGCACCACAATGCTGTGCTATCCAACAAAGGGCTAGCACCAGGGGCAGGTAAAGGCCTCTGATGGTCTGCACAGCTACCTCAGTGTTCCAGTCACAGGGCAATCACAGGCTCCACAGATGGAGCTCCTCTAAAGGCAAGGACTTGTCCTGCCTTCAGGATAGACCTTTCAGAGTGCAAGAGCAAAACTACCATTCACCTGCAGTCTGTCCAGCATACCAGAGGCCCTTGTGACCAGAGGCTCCAGGCTCAGCCCAGGGTCGGTGACTTCATGACACTGGGGTGCAGGTTGGTTGTGGAAACCAAGCCCCTGTTCCTGCCAAAGCCCCTGGGAGGGCTGTGAGTGGAACGAACAGGGAAAACATCTTTTCTGAGGAGCACACTTAGAACCCAATGAACAGGGAAAACATCTTTTCTGAGGAGCACACTTAGAACCCAATGAACAGGGAAAACATCTTTTCGGAGGAGCACACTTAGAATCCAATGCAGGATGCTCCTGGAGCTGCTTCTGTGGTAGCCTGAGAATTGAGACCTGTGGGGGATGCTAAGTCCAGGTCCTAACAGCTTCTCTCATTTAGGGAGGTGGGGGGAACCTCAAATGTGCTAGTCATATGCTCTACCACTGAGCTGTATCCCCAACCCAACTTCTGTTTCAATAAATCCAGATCCCACCATGTGTCTCCCCATCTGCATGCCAGAAACGTGTTTACTCCTGAAGAATGAGACCTTGAATGTGCCACAAGGCGCTGTCATCATAGGCACAGGTTGGGGCTCCGAGCAGCCTCACAGAAGCAAGGGCTTGCTGGGACTTGACCCAATGCCACCAGCTATTGAGATAAATCTGAATGGCTGGTAGAGTCAGTGCCCATTCCTTCACTGAGACAAACCCCTACCTGCTACACACAGCAGAACTGAGAGGACTTCATGTCCCTAAGTTACCTTAGTGACTGCCTTGAGCTGTCTGTTAGCATGGTGCACAAGGTCCAGGATGGCATTCATTGCCTTGGATGTGTCAAAGTCATCAGCCAGTGCAGTCTTCACAGTCTCCTTGGTGCTGGTGAGCCTGGAGAAAGATAAGGGAGTCACACCAGCAAGACTCGAACTCAGCAGCAGCCCTCCCATGCCCCAGCCTGGCCTGGCACCAACCCCTGGAAGCACAAACATCCTTCCCCCAAAAATAAAGGCAGAGACCTGACCTGGGGCCCCTTCCTAGGTCACGTCTACTGCTTTGAAACAAAATTCCCACTTCTAGAGTAGAAGGAACCTATCTACTTGTGTCTGAATAGCAGTATCCACATCATAATGGTTGAAGCATCAACCGTGAGAAGTGACAATCTCTCCCTACCACATGTGGCAATTAAGAGTTACTGGGACAATATGAAGACATCCCCAGCTCTGGAGGAATACTATTTGTGCAGGACTTAGGAACAGATGGAAATGGGGGTGACCAGAGGTCAGTTTTAAGAAGTGAGGCCAACTTCTGACAGGAGGGGAGGCTGCACAGCAGGCCTGCCTCCCTCGGGTATTCCTGGTGGCCTCTGCATTCCAGCCATCTGCTCCCAATAGCCATGATTAGCAGCTATGACCTGCTTACCTCTCCCACAGCACATCTTCCCTGACAGAGCCACAGACCAGCTGCCCTTTCACATAGGCGCGTGCATCCTCCACAGAAGAGACCAGCCCCAGCAGAAGGTGTTTGGCTTCCAGCAAGGTACTGTCACTGTATTCAATGGCTGTGGAAAAAGAAATGGTCACTGAGGTCCCCAGTATACCCCAAAGCAGAGTCTTGTCCTCACAGTAACTGAGAAACCATCAGAGAAAAGGTGCCACAGAAATATCTCCTGGAACTTTCTGCTCAGTGGGCTCATTTCAGTGACACGTGCATAGATGGGTGGACATGACAAAAGGGCCAGCTCCACCCTGGGCACTGAGCCCAGATGTGCTTCCCGATGAGGCTTCCTCCAGGCCCATTTCTACCAACCTTAAGGCAGAGCAGCAACCATACTGTATGGATGAGCTTGCCACAGGCCCGCATTCTGCTTCCCTCCACATGTGAGGGCAGCAGCTCCAGGCTCACCTGACCTGTAGTTGGTACGCATGCAGAAAAGCCGGAAGACGTCAGGGGAGAAGGTCTGCAGGAAGTCCTAGAGGAAGGGAAATGGGCAGCTGTCACTTGGGATTGTGACCCTGGCAGCGGTAATGCAGGGAGTTGTACACACAGCACAAAATGGATTTTCATGTGCCCTCCTTATGTTTCCCAACTGTTACCATCACTTCTTAACCTGGCAGTTTCTCCCATGTGATTTTCTGTTTCATGTCTGTGGGCAGGGCTGAAAGAAGAAAGCCCAAGACTGCCCCCCAACCAGGCTTTAGGGTAACATGCTCTGCCTGGTGTCTGACATGAACATGAGATGGGGAACTGGCTGGCATCAGGAGATCTAGTGACTGACAGGGACATGCCACGCATGGGAAGGGACAGAGGATAGGCAGTAGAGCCACACTGGCACCTGGTCTCACAGTCCAATGAAGGTTCAGCCAAGGTTGTGGGTCAGAACAAGGTGACATCCAAGCTCAGAGTCAGACTGTGAAGAGTGAGGCCCTGCCTATTCTGCATGATGGCACTGTTCCCTGAACACTGAGAATGCTCCAAGTTTGTGACACCCTGCCTCTGACCCCTAGCAGGTACCACTGTAAAGACTGCTCATGAAATTACTTATGAAAGCTTCCACATTAGGAGAGAGAATGCAGGAAGACCAAGGCGAGATCAGAGGCTCCATTCAATCAGCAGGGCATATCAGCAAGTCCTCCCCACACAGTGCCACAAGTCCTGTACAGAGCAGAATGGGGAGGTAGAGGAGGCCTGGCCCCAGGAAAGGAAGCATGTGTTTCCACTTCACCCCTGCCAGGTTGGCTCTCTGAGGAAACAGGTCCTGGGCCAGTGCCCACAGACTTCTGGCCCTTTCACCAGAAGCTTCTCTGCTTAGCAAGCCCTAGAGGCCTCTGTGGAAGTGAGAACCACCATCATCACATCTCTTTCCATGATTCATCAGATTCATACTGGCTGATGCAGCAATGAAGTATATATATGGGGGCTGCTGGCCACTAGGGCTTGACACCCTCTTCCCCAGCAGGGGACATGTCCTAGAACTGTCCAGCTGCCAATGGACAAGACAGTCTGAGGAGGTACAGGACTGTCAGGAGGGGACAGACAGCCCCAGCTTAGCTAAGCACAGAGATTGGCTCAGTCCATCTGATAATACATGAAACACTATTCCAGGCAGGGACTGCTCAGCCGCAATCAGTGCAAGAACTTCATTACACACAGCCTGCTAAGGGTGCTACTTACAACTATGCAGAGGCAAGGTTTACAGAGCTGGGGACTGACACCCTTCCTGGCCTTTCTCAGAGGCTGTATGGGGCACTGCCCGGACCCCTGCTCTAGAACCAAGTCTCCATGTCCAATGACCTCTCCATTGTGCCACTCTGAGCACTCCCTACACACTACTGGGCCCAGGCTCCAGCTGTTTCTTCCAGAAGCATCTCTCTTGCCTTACCATTTCTGGGAAAGGCTTGTGTGCTCAGTTCCCATATATACAGGGCTGGGATATGGGAAGCATTTGAATACAGGGACTGCTAGCTGCACAGAGGAGTTTTTGCTGGCCACCCTCCTGCCAATTCCCTTTGAATTCCTGGCCCAATGACCATGAGCTATTCTATCTGGAATTCAAGGTCTTCCTGAGTAACACCGGCTGTCAATGCTCCCTCCAGGCTGCCACACTGCCGGCTAAGCTGGTTCTCTTTTCACTGTTACTACATTATAAAGCCTTTCTAGATGTTTGTTCTGGAAGGTGCTGAGCTCTCTGCACAGCAGCTGCAGCTGTGCACTTCCCTTCTGGGACCCGAGGATACAGTCAGCTCACATTAGAATTCCCGAATAATGCCTGTCCAGCAGAAGGGCCAAGAGGCCTGGGGTCCAGGGTCTGAACCCCATGCTTTCTCTCTGCCTTCCTGTTTTTGTGGCATCAGGCACACAATCGACAACTGTAATATTAGTGACATCCTTTTTTTTTGGTCTTTTTGAGAGAGTGTCTCCTTGTAGCCCCAGCTGGCCTGGAACTCACTATGTAGACCAGGCTGACCTTGAACTCACAGAGATCTGCCTGCCTCTGCCTCCCAAGTGCTGGGATTAAAGGCATGATGTCTTATCTCTGAAGTTCTCTAGTTTTCTAAAAGTCATTTGTCTTCTTTCAAACCCAGAATAAGCGTGGTGTCTGCCTCACTCCAGAAAGGAACTTAGATGGTTGTTTGTAAAGTCTTCTATTCAGAATGTGTATGTGTTCAGAGTCAGCCTCATTGAGGCTCACACCTGAAAATGACAGATCTCTGAAACCCCAACCTTACCTTGGGGCTTCTGGGGGGCACTGGGATGGAGTTAGGGGAAGCAGTATAAACAAACGTCCTAAAGCCAGTGTGTTTATGACCATCAGCTTTGTGGAAGGTTCCCAATAATAGAGAAGAGTCACGTGGAGACTTCTCTATGTTTAAAAGTGTTGATGGAACTTTTTAGTGCGTCTCTGCTCTATACAACTGGTGTCACCAAGTTTCTGCACTGCTTTAGTTCCACCACACAACCTGGCCAGAGCCACCTGAGAAACTAGACACCATCTGTTTAGGTTAGTGCTAGAAAATCTCAGAGGGAGGAAGTGACCTGCCAGGAGGCCAGACAGCCAACCTTGGAGACTCTGTAAGCTCTCACCGTCCATCATGGGGAGCACATGCAGAGGAGCAGCAATGACAGCAGGGGTGCACCTGTCAGCCCCAGGCTGGGAAGGACTCCTGGTCAGGCTCTCACTTGCTCACCACTTCACATAATCTCACCTCACTGGAACCCCAAGGCCATTGTGCTGTCACTTCATTTATTTATTTGAGACAGGGCCTCATGTAGTCCATGCTTAATCTCAAACTCACTGTCACCTCACTCTAAAGAAGAGACAACCAGGGCCTAGTGAGGTACAGTAGCAGGCAGAGTGAGTGCCACAGCTGGAGCTTTCCACAGGGCTCTGCCTGTCTCCATGGAGTTTCTAGAAATCAGTGAGTTTCATGCAGACCATGACACAAGCCCACTGTGGTCTCCAGAATGAAGACCTGTGGTAACCAAGAAACTGACAAGCATCCTTGTCACGTAGGGCAAGAGCACCAGAGAGCCATGGGACCATGGCCAAGGTCAGACATAGACTGGCTGACTGGCCTAAAGTAAAAGTGAGGCAGGGGGTGGAGGAGAGGGGATAAGGATTCCACACAGTCAATAAATGCACAGCTAAAATCTACCTGCTATTCTGTGAGAAATTAATGAAAATGTTAAATCTGACCACAACTTCTATTTAATATTGGAGAAGACATTAAAAATGGCCAGTTGCATACACTATGGTGAGATATAAATTCTGTTTATTGCTGACTTGCCAGAGGTGTATCCCAGATCTCCTGAGTGGGCACAGTCTTTGATGTGTTATCCCACCTTAAGGCAGGTATCCCAAACACAGACCATCACAGTCTGCCCTCTGCATCTGTGGCTTCCACCTCTGCAGTGCAATCAGTCATGAACTCAAATACTCAGGGGATGCATCTCTTGAACAGCCTTCTTTTTCTTGCCATTGTTTCCTAAACTGTGTTTAACAACCATTTGCACAGCATCTGCATCACATCAGGTACCAGAAGCCTTCAAGAGAAGGCCTTCAAGACGCTCAGGAAAAGCAGGTGGTGCCAGGGGGTGTGGGAGCCGAGTGGTCCACTCTGGCTGAGTCTGGGATGGCTTCCATTCCCCACAAAATAGGACTGAATTCATAAAGCATCATATAAACCCTCAAGAGAAGATCTGGCCTGTGCAGAGGAATATGTACAAGCTATGTACATAAATTACATGCACAGCTTTTTTTATATTATTATTTATTGGGAGGAGGTGCTACCATGTGTATGTGGCGGTCAGGTGACGGCTTATGGGCATTAGTTCTCGCCTTCCACCATGTGGGTCCTGGGGAAAGAACTCAGGTTAGCAGGCATGGCAGCAAGTGTCTTTACCCACTGAGTCATCTCATCATATGTATAGCTTTGTAAGGGACCTGATCATCCTGGGATTTGTTATCTGTTGGGGTTCTGGAACCAATCTTCCCTGGACACTAAGAGGCAGCTCTAGGTGGGAATGTTTAGCTGAAGGGTCTTCACAGCATTGTAGACTGCAGAGCAAAGGCTTCCTATCCAAGTCCAATATAGTGCATCACTTGAATGAGCTATGAAAAATGCCATCTTTGTATTGTGGTTAACCTGTCACGTGCCAAGGCCTTCACTTGAAGGCAGAGAGGCCCCTGGAAAAGATGGGTAGGAAGGCAGAAGTCTTCAAGGGTAGGAAACAAAGACACTCAGGAAAGGCAGGTGGTGCCAGGGGGTGTGGGAGCCAAGTGCTCCACTCTGGCTGAGTCTGGGATGGCTTCTATTCCCTCCCAAAATAGGACTGAATTCATAAAGCATCATATAAACCCTCAGTTCCCCAGTGAGTCTAACAACAGAAGGAGAAACAGGGAAGGGTGGCAGTACCAACAAGAAAGAGGCACCAGAACAGACAACCCTGACTGTGAGAACCCACAAAGCACATGGGGGCAGGGCGGGCACTGGAGCCCCAGTGGGGAAGTTGCTGGGAACCAGGCACCACTGCTCAGATCCCTAATATTCATAAGGAAAGCAAAACAAACCCTCAGTTCCCCAGTGAGTCTAACAACAGAAGGAGAAACAGGGAAGGGCGGCAGTACCAACAAGAAAGAGGCACCAGAACAGACAACCCTGACTATGAGAACCCACAAAGCACATGGGGGCAGGGCGGGCAGTGGAGCCCCAGTGGGGAAGTTGCTGGGAACCAGGCATCACTGCTCAGATCCCTAATATTCATAAGGAAAGCAAAACTTTTCTTTTTTAAGTCTTTTTGAGACAGGGTCTCCTTGTAGCCCCAGCTGTCCTGGAACTCACTATGTAGACCAGGCTGACCTTGAAC